TATGTGCGTTCGATACGATTCACGCAGTGTTCGAAGTCCGTCTTAGTGGGTAGGGATCTAATGTATGTGTGTAGGGATCTCATGTGGGACTGCAGGTCCCAGCCATCCTCAGAACAAAGGGATACTGCGGAAGGGCTGTGGGACCCCTGTGTGTCTCGTGGTCTCGGGTTTGGCAAGGGGCTGTGGAATCTCTGCGTGGCCCGCGCGCGACTCCATGTATTGGGGCAGTGGGCCCCTATTGCTCCCTGTGGGCTCCGTGGTGGGGGCGAGGGAATGTGAGACCCTCATGCGGCCTGCGGACTCCATGTTGGAGAGAGGCTGAGGGTTCCCTGTGTGTCCCGTGGGCTCCGTGGTGAGGATGGATTGTGGGGCCCCCTGAGGTCCATTGTGTCAGTGACTCTGCGGTACCCCCATGCGCCTCCTCCTTGTGTGGTGGTGGGAGGGCTGCAGCGCCCCTGCATGTCCCTTTGTCCCTGAGTGGGGGAGGGGCCATGAGGCTCCTGTGGGTCCCGGGTGTCAGGGTTTGCCGCGGCTCCGTCCCCGGCACAGTAAGAGCTGCGGGTGCACCTCGGGTGGCCAATGACAGCCCGGGGGCGCGTCCTGGGCGGCCAATGACAGTGCAGGGCGCGATATTTAAATATGCCCTGCACTGTCACAAATCGCAAGGTCTGACCTGTTACCTGTGTTCCCTGTGCCCTGTGATTGTGACCCGGATTGTTTGACCTTCTGCCTGCTCCTGCCCTGACCCGGATTATCTGACTACGCTGCCTTTTCCTGTGATTGACCCGGATTGTCCCTGACTACGCTGCCTTCTCCTGTCCCGACCCCCGGCTTGTTTGACCATTCCGCGGACTGACTCCGGTAACTGACCCTGCGTGTGACCTGACCACTCTCTGCCTTCCATCTCGGTACCACGCCATTTCCCACGGTGGCAACCGCCGGTTTATCCTGCCTGCCTCCTCACATCTGGCTCTATTCTGTCCTACTCTCATCCCCGGAGGCTCCCTCTGCCACAGGTGGTATTGCTCAGAGGTCGTGACCTGGTCCTGGTTCTGCTCCAAGTCCATCCCCACCATCAGGGGCCCTGGTGAAAACACAGACTGGGACTTAGACTCCACGCTTCGGGTGATTCCGCCTAGTGGGCTGCCAGAGGTACCACCTGGCGGATCCGTAACACCGGGTCTGAGGTGCAGGGGAGGGTGGTGCCAAGGGGTCCCCAGGGCTGGCGGGGGAATCAGAACCCCATGGGCTTACCTGCCCCTCGATCCCTGGCTCCGGAGTCCGCGTTATCCCGCGTGCAGCGGTGGCTGCAGCCATCGGCGCCATTTTGGTTGCCTGTGTGTTCTCTTCAGGGACCCGTGGTCAGACCAGTTACCGGCTCAGGGAGCCGCCGGGTCGATCCCTGCTCTTTTCTCTGGGTGTGCGGTGGATTCTCTTCCCCATTGCCTGTGCCTTTGGTTCTGGGAGAGGGCGGATTAGTCCTGTGTACTGGGGCTCAGGCCAGGAGCTGAGCAGAAGTGCTGCTTAGCTGTCCATGTGCCTGGCCACGCCCCCCATGCACAATTTTAAAGCATGTCATTTTTAGTATCTATTTACTTGGAATACCATTATCTTTTTTATTTTACCAAATAATTGGCCAATATATTGTGTTCTTATGCATTAAAAGTAAAAAAGTGTATTTTGAAAAGTAAATTTACGTTTAAAAAATTTGCTGCGCGAGTACTATGTGACATACAAAAATTACAGCACCCACCATTTTATTCACTAGAGTGTCTACTTTAAAAAAATATATATTTGGGGGTTCAAAGTAATTTCCTAGCAAAAAATACTGATTTTGTCTGTGATGTGTGGTATAAACTTCTAATGCTGGGCATAAAATGCTTCCACCTCCCAAAACAACCCCTTTTTGGAAAGAATACACCCCAAAGTATTTGCTGAGAGGCATGTTGAGTCAATAGAAGAATTTTATTTTTTTACCGCAAGTTTTTGGAAAATGACAAAAAATTTTTTTTTTTTTTTTTACACAAAATTGTCACTGAAATGATTTATGCTCACATGCCATGGGTATATGTGGAATTACTCCCCAAAATACATTCTGCTACTTACTTCTCCCGAATATGGGGGTACCACATGTGAGAAACATTTTGGCAGTCTAGCCAAGTACAGGACCCCAAAATCCACCTTCAGGCTTTTAAAGGGCTTTTTTTCCCCTCATTTCCCTTCCTGACTACCTATCACAGTTTTGGAGGCCCTGAAATGCCAGGATAGGACCAACCCTCCCCCCCAAATTACCCCTTTTTGGAAAGTAGACACCCCAAGGAATTTGATAAGTACATGGTGAGTATTTTACAGATCTTGTTTATTCTTTTTTTATATTTCAAAACCTTGTGAGAAAAAATTAGATCTGCAAAATACTCACCATGCCTCTTTTTACATTCCTTCAGGTTTCTACTTAAAAAAGGGGTAATTTGGGGGGGGGGGGGGTGGTGCTATCCTGGCATTTCAGGGCCTCCAAAACTGTGCTAGGTAGTGAGGAAGTGCAATGAGGAAGTTACACACCTTCAGGCTTTCAAAGTGGTCATTGGATTTCAGGCCCTTGTATGTAGCTAGGCTCCCAAAAAGTCTCACACATGTAGTATCCCCATACTTGGTAGAAGCAGCAGAATGTATTTTGGGGTGTAATTCCACATATACCCATGGCTTGTGTTAGAAATATATAATTTAAATGACAACTTTGTGTAAAAAAAAAATGTTTTTGTCATTTTCCAAAAACTTGTGGGAAAAAAATAAATCTTCCATAGATCAATATGCCTCTCAGCAGAAAGGCTCAGGGTGTCTACTTTCCGAAAAGGGGTCATTTGGGGGTGTTTGTACTGTCCTGGTATTTTAGCACCTTAACCACTTTGCCGACCGCAGATAGCCGAATGACGGCTACACTGCGGCCGGCTAGTTCTGGGAGGGCGTCATATGACGTCCTCCCAGAAAGCGCTCTCCTGTGCACCTCCGGGGGCGCGCACCCGGCAATCTCCATGATCAGCTGATCACATGATGTGGTAAAAGGCCAATCACAGCGGCCTTTTACCACATGATCAGCCGTGTCCAATGACACGCTGATCACCGGGAAATGCAATTGCCGGTTCTCGGCTGCACTTTCTTCACACTGTCAGAGCGTGAGGAAAGTAATGCCGAGAACCGGCAGTTGTCAGAGCAGGGATCGGCACTGATCATCAGGGCACTGATGATCAGGGCACTGATGATCGGTGCCCAGCAGTGCCACCCACCAGTTCAGCCCACCTGTGCCTAGCAGTGCGCCCACCTGTGCCCAGCAGTGCACCCACCTGTGCCACCCAGCAGTGCCACACACCTGTGCTCAGATGTGCCACCTACCTGTGCCCAGCAGTGCCACCCACCTGTGCCTACCAGTGCCACCCACCTGTGCCCACCAGTGCCCACCAGTGCAGCCCAGCAGTGCTGCCAGTCAGTGCCACCAGTCAGTGACCAGTGGTTGTGCCAGTCAGTGCCCAGCAGTTGCGCCAGTCAATGCCTAGTAGTGCCACCAGTCAGTGCCCACCAGTGATGCCAGTCAGTGCCACCTATCAGTGCTGTCTATCAGTGCCACCTATCAGTGCCGCCTATCTGTGACACCTCATTAGTGCTGCCTATCAGTGCCGCCTATCCGTGCCACCTCATTAGTGCTGCCTATCAGTGCCGCCTATCAGTGCCCATCAGTGCTGCCTATCAGTGCCCATCAGTGCCGCCTATTAGTGCCCATCAGTGCTGCCTCATCAACACACATTAGTGAAGGAGAAAAATTACCTGTTTGAAAAATGTTATAATAGAAACAAAGAAAGTTTTTTTTTTTTTTTCAAATTTTTTGCAATTTTTTTGTTTATAGCGCAAAAAGTAAAGTGCCCAGTGGTGATGAAATTCCACCAAAAGAAATCTTTATTTGTGAGAAAAAAATGATAAAAATTTCATATGGGTACAATCTTGCATGACCGCGCAATTGTCAATCAAAGTGCGACAGCGCTGAAAGCTGAAAATTGGCCTGGTAAAGAAGGGGGTATAAGTGCCCGATAGGCAAGTGGTTAAGAAATGTGATGGGCAGTCAGAAAGTAAAAGCTGTGTAAATTCCATTATACAAGACATAGTTTGTAGATGCTATACCGTAACTCAATATACAAGCAATCAATATACACTTATTGGGATTTTTTTAAACATAAACATGTAGCAGAATACATTTTGGCCTAAATTTATTATGAAATTTGAGTTTTTTGGATATTTGTTATGACACAAATGAGAAAATATTGTTTTTTTTTAAATTTATTTTCAAAACTTTTTTGTTTATAGTGCGAAAAATAAAAAGCACACAGGTGATCAAATGCCACCAAAAGAAAGCTCTATTTGTGTTAAAAATGGATGTAAATTTAATTTATGTACCGTATTGCATGACCATGCATATGTCAGTTAAACTAGTGCAGCGTTGTATAGCAAAAGAAAATTAAGTAAATTGCAATATTTATTCCATAGTTTGTAGCCACTGTAACTTTCACACAAAGCAATCAATATGCACTTATCAGGAATTTTGTTTACCAAAAACATGTAGCAGAATACATTTTGGCCTAAATTTATAACTAACTTTGAGTTTACTATATATTTTTTATAGCCGAAAGTAAAAAATATTGTTTTTCTTCAAAATGTTTGGTCTTTTTTTGTTAATAGCGTGAAAAATAAATAGCGCACAGGTGATCAAATACCACCAACAGAAAGCTCTATTTGTATGAAAACAAGGACATACATTTTGTTTGCGTACAGCAACAATAGTGCCGCACCGAATAGCAAAAAGAGGCCTGGTCATTAACCTCCCTGGCGGTATTCCTGAGTGTAGCTCGGGGTAAAGTTTCAGTACCAAAAGCGGTAACCCCGAGCTACACTCTGGCTTATCATGCGGCGTTGATCAGGGATTCCCTGCAGCGCTTACCTTGTCCTTCGCTCCCGCGATGCGTCCCCTGCAGCATCCCCCTCCATCTCCTCCGGCCGATGCTGGCATATGGCTTCCGTGTTCCGGTCCCTGCGAGCGTCAGGACGTACGGGGGACGGAATGGCGGCAAATTTAAAAATTTTTAGAAACTGTCATTTTCTTAGAAATGAATTTGACATAGTAAAACATTACTGTATCAAACCATTTCACATACATTTTATCCCTACTGCTTTGTCCTGTGCCCTGCCTGCATTTTGACTGTTCTTTCTGCCTGGAAACTTAGAAAAGTCCATGGCGTCCAAAAAGCGTCCCTTTTGGTCAAAAGTGGTTTTAGACTGGCTAGAGAACAGCGATAGTAAATCATAACCACTTGCAGAATTGAGTGATAACTGATTTGTGGGAAAAATTTGTCATCAGACACTGAAAACGATTTTGCGACTTTGCTCAGCGATGTGCGAACTTGGCGCTATATTTCAAATTTCAGTGTTTTTGGTTTGATTATATTATTGAATTAAGTTTATTATTATATTATTATTTTTATGATTATTTATTAAATTATAATTTATGATTTTGTGTTTCAAGTTTTATCATACCCGGACTGTTTACTAGACTCTTGTTCGGACAGATTTCAGTGAGTTATTCCTAAAAATTACAGGCCTACAATAAAAAAAATACATATTTCCATGCAAAAAAATGTACTGCTTTCAGCACAGAAATATAGACATAATCATACCGTTAAGGGAGGTTAAGGGGGGTAAATCCTCAGGATGGGAAGTGGTTAATTATACCTCTTTAAGCCCCACCCCCTTTTCATTGCTGCACACTACGCATCTTAGATTTATTTGCAGTGCCAGGGGTATTCCAAATCACAATCATAGCAAGGCTTCCGGTGCCCTGCTTTTTGTTTTTGACCAGTCCAGCGCTATTCACAATCAGTGCAAGGAGACCAGCACAGACAGAAAACACACTGCACACTTCCAGGTCCATGTTAAAGCCAAGTGGCAGATCTACAGATGTGCAGTAATACTAAGACAAGCAATGATAGCTTGAAGTGGAAGTGGTTGCATAAAATACAATTCACATACAGTACAATGTATAGACAATAACAATTCCTCGAAATGAGGAAAGTTGCAGTACAAATCAAAGAACAAATAACCTGCATACAAAAAGATGTCTTCTACTGCACAGTATCAGGGACAGGGTAGATTTATATCATTGCACCCTAAACAAGCTGGACCAAAACATCATGTAGGTAAACCTTAGTAAGAAAATACATAATTATTGTTCATGGACATTTAAAGTGTGGGGAGAGTTACACTATACATCCCAGACGTTATGGTCCTTTTGAGAACACCCTCTATGGCATATATTATTTTTTTTCAAATGGTAGAATTCGGTTGACTGCATTAGACCACTGTGGGAGCGAGAGGAAGGAGGACTGCATCCACTTAAAAATAATTTGTTTTCACGCCAGAAATACAGTTTCCATTAGAAGGGTCTTGACATATCTAGGCCAGAACCCCTAATTTAGAAGACCTAATAGGCACACATCTGGAATGGATGGAAAAAGAATGGAGAGAAAAGAAGAAGGCAGGTCCAAAACGTGTTTCCAGCAGCGTGATATTTCAGGGCAAAACCATATCAAGTGTTTGAAATGACTCCAGGTTGGGCACAACGTAGGCAAATTGATATGGGGATACATCCCATCACATAATTGGGCTGGGGTGAGATATGTTTGGTGAATAGTATAAAAGTTGGATTAATTTGTTGTTAGCTACCATTTATTAACCATGTCTCTGCATGCCGCCTGAACTGACCCATCTTGCAATGTCCCACTGACTACATTCCCTCAAGACACCAATCCCTGTCATGACCTGCAGACAACTGCACACCTGAAACCACAAGGACACTTTTGTTCACCCTTTGTTCAGCCTGTACTTCCTGGCCCATGATTTTAGCAATCTGGGGGTAGCCATGTACTAGTAGGTTAGGCTTGCTTGGCTTTTCAAAACATGAATTCCCTAGGTAAAGCTACACTAAGCTATATTCCCTGTCCACTCATACAGAGGTGAGCATTACAGTACACTGTGCTTGATACAATGTTGGTTGATTTTTTGGACAAACAAGATACAATGTCTGGTTCATTATCAGTCCAAACGCTGAAAAAGTTTCACACATGTGGTATCACCATACTCAGGAGTAGCAGAAATCTGTTTTAGAGCACAATTCCATGTATTCCCATGTTGTGTGAGAGAAACATCATTAAATTGACAACTTTGTGTAAAAAAAAAAATTTAATTTTCATTTTGCTTTTTAAAAAAAATATGTGGCAAAAAGGAATACATCAAAAGACTCATTATGCCTCCTAAAAATATCTAGGGGTGTTTACGCTATAAAATATTTTTATTTTGTCAGTGTTTCTATTGTGCTGGTGCTCCAGAGCCTCCAAAAATTTGACAGGTAGACAGGACATTAGTTTGAATATGCTCCTTGGAATTTGGACCCCTCTAGGCAGCTAGGCTGCAAAAAGAGTCTCACATATGTGGCATCCCCACACTCAGAAGGAGTAGCAGAATGTGTTTTGGGGTGTAATTCTAAGTATGCTGATGGTGTGTATTATAAATATCTTGTTAATTTACAACTTTGTATAAAAAAATAAATTTTCATTATTTTTTCCCATTTTTTAATAACTTGTAGCAAAAAATTAAATATTCAAAAGACTTGTATTGCCTCTTAAAAAAATACCCTGGGATGTCAGATTTCCAAAATGTTGCCATTTTTTTGGTGGCACTCCAGGGCCTCCACACCTGTAATAGGTAGTCAGGAAATTAGATTTCTAATTTTTGCACCTTGATATCCTGAAGGTGTTCAATGGATTTTGGGCACCTCTATTACCGCTATACAGCTAGTCTGAAAAAAAGTTTCACATATGTGGTATCCGCACTCTCACTCAAGAAAATCAGAGAATGTTTCAAATTTCTAAGTATGTCCATACTATGTGAGACATATTTTATTAACAGCTGTGTGTAAAAAATGTACATTTCCTTTCTTGTTTTTGCAAAGACACACAGTATGTCAAAACATGTGATCTTCAAAAGACCCACCAAGTCTCTAATTAAATATGCTTTTGGGTCCTCTTTTCAAATGTGGTTTGATGTTGAAAAAAGAAACTAGTCCATCAAGTTCAACCAACAGAAAAAAAATGATATTGAAAACCCCCCTATGCCCACAGTTGATCCAAAGGAAGGCAAAAAAACCCCAAATGCTCCAATTCACTTCAGCAGGGAGAAAAATTCCTTCCCGTTCCCCCGGGAGGAAACCAGATATTCCCTGAACCAACTACTCCTGGTGTTATTACCTCTAAATATTGATATCCAGTTATATTGTGTGCATTTAGAAAGGCATCCTGGCCTTTTTTTAAACAATCTACTGACCTGGCCAGAACCAGTTGTTGAAAGAGTCTACTGAACATTTTCACAGCTCTTACTGTAAAGAAGCCTTTCAGAATGTGAAGGTTAAATCTCTTTTCCTCTAGACATAAAGAGTGCCCCCTTGTTCTCTGTATTGACCTGAAAATGAATAACTCTACACGAAGTTCACTATATCGACCACTTACAGTATGTATTAATAAATGTTGATCATATCCCCCCTCAACTGCCTCTTCTCAAGAGAGAATATATTCAATTCAGCTAATCTTTCCTCATAGCTGAGCTACTCCATACCTCTCATCATTTTGTTTGCCCTTCTTTGCATTTTCTCCAGTTCCCCAATATCCTTTTTGTGAACTGGTGCGCAGGGGCGGACTGACAACTCATGGGGCCCCCGGGCAATAGGGGATCATGGGGCCCCTGTGTCCTTGCCCAAACTCAAAAAAGCCTATAAAAAGGTACCAGGGGCATCTCATGGGGGACCCCTACTGACCCTGGGCCCTCGGGCAGTGCCCGAGTTTCCAAATGGTCAGTCCGCCCCTGCTGGTGCCCAAAGTAGCACTGCATATTCCAAATGAGGTCTTACTAATGATTTGTGTTGCTGTCTCTTTCTCTGGAGTCTATACATCTTTTAATGCAAGAAAGTATTGTGCTAGCTTTAGAAACTGCAGCTTGCCATTGCAAGCTATTCTATGATCTATCAGAACTCCCAGATCCTTCTCCACCATTGACTACCCTAGCTGTTCTCCTCCTAGAATGTATGACGCATGTACTGTATGTTCTTAGCCCCCAAGTGCATATTATCTACATTAAAGCTCATTTGCCACTTAGTTGCCCAATTAAATAGTGCATTGAGATTAGCTTGTAAACTGCAGATATCATGTAAGGATATAATCCCACTGCATAGCTTAGTGTCATCTGCAAACACTGAAATGGTACTTTTATTCCCAGACCCTATATTATTTATAAATATGTTAAAAAGTAAGGATCCCAGGGGGCGTGGTCTGGACATGGCCGATTGAGGATGCTTTGAGTCTGAGCTCTCGCACTCTCCTGCATTACCTACTGCCAAACCTAGTTACAACTACCTATCAGGCTTTCAACAAAAGCGGGGGGGGGGGGGGTTGTGCCGGACCCTGCCCACTAAAATGGACATTGAGACCTTCATCTCCCGGGTAGAGGATGCGCACTACAGGGCACTTGATCTGGTGCACTCGGAGGTGCACGCCCTAGCTGGCCGCCTCTCTGCGGAGGAGCACTCTGTGACGGCCTTGGATCTCTGGGTTACAGCCCTGGAGAACGAGTGGGAGTCTGGAGAGGCAGAGGTGACAGCTCTCCAATTACATCTGGAGGAGCTGGAGGATGGGAGCCGTCGTAACAACTCGCGGCTCCGGGGCCTCCCGGAGGCCAAGGGCCTGGAACATCTTCAAGACACGGTAACGGTAATCTGCATACTTCATCATTATACCCAGAAGGAGTTTATCCTACGTAAAGCCTGGCTACGGGGGGACACAGATTTCGATGGAGTTCTCATCAAGATCTTGCCTGACATCTTCAGGGCGACTCATGGGGCCCACTATTGGGGCTCATGGGGCCCACATGAGGCGCACTATTCTTCACCCTTTTCTGGATAAGATCTGCCACGCTGACCTAACCTATCCCTGGGGATACCCGTTGACGGTCTCGATGTGGAAGGGACCCCACTCCTTCACTCTGTGATCCATGGGAGACCTGCCTGCACTCTTTTTCTTCATGGAGATAGACCAAATTGAAGTACCAGACTGGCAACAACTCCTACCCCGGCAGCTGGGTGGACCCTCATCTCGGGGTGCTCTGTCTGGCCTTCCGCCCCGACCACCGTGGCGACGACGCAGGCCTCCTTCACCATCTATTGAGGGTCCACGTGAGTCCTGAAATGTCTGCCTATGGTTTCCCTGCCTTCTGGTCCACTGGC